ACTCTCTGACCTCACTCCCTCACTCTCTCTCTCTCTCTCTCTCTCTCTCTCACACACACACACACATGCAGGGTGAGTAAATATATCCTCTATGCATTCAAAAAGCTCAGTCTCAGCATCTTCCGTGAAACATGTCATTCACAGAGAATTGTGGCTGGAAGGTTATAAAGTACAAGATGAATCGTTGTCACAGGGATTTGCACAGACACTAACTGGTGCAGGTCTGAAAGAAAGATGCAGTGTTATTGGAGTTACATAAATGGATGGAGGTTTGTGAGGAATAGAGAGATGTTATGTAAAAAGCTGGGGAAGGACAAAGGTTAATATATAGATAGGAAGAGAGAGAGAATGGGATTATATAACGGGATTAAGAAAGGAGAATTTATCAGTGGGTTGTAGTGTTGTATAAACAGGCACTAGAGTGACCAGAGCTGTCCTGACAATACCTCCCATCACACAAATGTACACATAAAAATATATTAACAATACATACAAAAACATATTTAAATATTTCCTGGATTCTTGATGTACATGTATTAAGCGGATTAATTTAAAATGTACACTGCACTGGTAGCTATATATTATTTAATTGAATTTAAATGAAGTAATTTATTTTTTATACGATTTATTTAATACAAATTATATATATATATATATATATATATATATATAATATAAACATTTATTATTTAATTGAATTTAAATTAATTTATTTCAGATTTTCTTACAAATTTTAGCATCAAAATAATTTATAAAAAATAAACATTTAAACATTTAAAGGTGACATATCATGAAAATCGGACTTTTCCAGGTTTTAAGTGCTATAATCAGGTGCATCTACCAACCAAGGAAACGTGAAAAAGATTAACCCAGTAACTTTCTTTTGGTAAACCTTTTTCTGCAAGCGTCTGAAAAAACGAGCGCATCTGATTTCGCTCCCTTGGTGACGTGGCAAAGGGATCTCATTATAATATTACCGCCCCTTAATCTGTAAGTTTCCATCCACGGCGCTGTCATTTGATTTCGCAAGTGACAACGGTATACCAGTTCTAACGCCATGGCGAAAGTTTAAGCAAAACATGCTAACTGTTCTGTCTTTGGCTGCACAGACGAGCACAGAACACTATTTAGAGTCCCAGCCTCAGAGGAGACAAGAGAGCAGTGGATTTATTGATTTATTTACTGTATATTGCTGCTGCCACACAGATCTAAAATAAACATGCAATTTATTTCCCAGCTGTTTACCTTCACAGACATAACCGACCGTTTTTGTAACTTGCGTGTTTTTAACGTAAACTTGTGTGTGAATGAGAACTTAGTTTTGTACTCGCATGCTATGACAGCCGCTTTCTGTCCGTGTGCGCTCAGAGAACCATATATCAGACGTTTAAACTAATATGGTTTAAAACGCATAATTTCAGCGTGATAAAAATGAAAATCAGAATCAAAACAGATGTTTTTAGCAGGTACTAGCTGTAATGGCACAGCTGTATTCTGGAAAAGGGGGCGGGGAGCAGCACCTCATTTGCATTTGAAGAGACAGGCACGAAAAACAGCGTGTTTCTGCTTCCACTCAAAATAGGCATTTTCAAAATGATGTAATAAATCAGGGGTGTCCAAACTCAGTCCTGGCTAAATATATATCGGTGATCCTGAAGAATTTAGCTCCAACCCCAATTAAATACACCTGAACCAGCTAATCAAGCTCTTACTAGGCATGCTAGAAACTTAAAGGCAGGTGTGTTGAGGCAAGTTGGAGCTAAACTCTGCAGGACACAGGCCCTCCAGGACCGAGTTTGGGCACCCCCGCAATAAATGATCTGTGGAGTATTTTGAGCTGAAACTTCACAGACACATTCTGGGGACACCAGAGACTTATATTACATATTGTAAAAAGGGGCATAATTTGTCTCCTTTAAATGACAATGACTTTGTATTTAATTTGTCCCATTTTTCGATAGCACCACTCAAGCTGCATGAACTCCACAAGTGTCAAATCTGATGTTCATGTTCTCCATGATGATTTGAGATGATCCAAAGAGCATCTTGTGCTTCACTGGAAGCAAGAACATATGACTGTCTGTACATAGAGTATATATCATCAATATCGTACATTTACTTATTTGATTAGTGCGGAATCTGGATTTTTTCTTATTCATTTTACATCTTAACATTTCTTTGTTTTAAACTTTTAATAATCTAATACCTTATTTCAGGTTTAAATTTGATTTCAGAGTGGGCTAATGTGTCCTGCTTGTCTTTCTGCAGGTATTATTACAACAAGAGAATTCTAAATAAAACTAAAGGAAAACGCTTCACCTACAAGTTTAATTTCAACAAGCTGGTCCTGGTCAACTACCCTTTCATTGATATGGGGTCTGCAGGTACAAAACGAGGACACACAAATCACATACATTTGTTTACATAATAAAATGCAAAACTCAATTAAGACCTCTACCTGTGTTTGTCTCTCCACAGGAGCGGCTGTTCCTCAAAGTGCTCCACCAGTGCCTACAGGTCCCCATTTCCGTTTCCCTCCATCCACTCCTTCAGACATGCAGGTGTCTGAAGTGCTGCGGTCCCCCAGCAGCGAGGAATTGCGCAGTCCGGGGATGTTCAGCGGCCGCCGCATCGCCCGTGGGTCTGTCTCTGACTGCAGCGATGGAACTTCTGTCAACTCTGAGATCGAAGATGGGAACGGAGGTGTGGCAGAGGAGAGAGTGACTGAAAGAGTGGCTGAGAGAGGTGGAGGAGGCAGCGGTTTCCGAGGTGCTGTTCACCCTCGTCTGTCTCACGAGGCTATGTTCAGGATGTACGGTGGACCGGGCGGTCACAGAGGTCATCGAGTGTCAGAGGTTGGCGGATACAGGGTTCATCCCGAGCCTCTCTCGCCATTCACCGTCTCGCCTCTGTCCGGTCCGGGAGGTCCAGGCCTGTTGGTGCCACCTCTCTCGCCGGCACTCTCCATGACCCCAGGCTCTCACCTGGCCTACACTCCCTCCCCTACCCTGTCGCCCATGCCTGGCTCCATCTTCTCCTTCAACCCAGAGGACATGCAGCGCTACCTGCAGGCTCACACCCAGAGCGTCTACAATTACCACCTGAGCCCTCGTGCCTTCTTTCATTACCCAAACATCATCGTTCCTCAGCCTCAGCGCCCCGACAAAGGCATGCCCGGACCCCAGGGCTGTGATCGTGGTCCTGTCGAGAGGCCTTCGGTGCTCAACAGCCATCACTCCATCCTCCCGCCACCTCACGCTCACCCTATTCACCATCACCTGGGGGAGGAACAGCAGCATTCTCCGTTCAAGTTCAAGCTCCAGCCTCCCCCATTGGGCCGAAAACAGCGTGACAGTCAGGGTCGACAGGCCTCGCTGTCCTCCACATCTACATCTGGTCTGGGTTCCTCGTTGTCGTTTGGGAGTGACCTCAGTTCAGCCAGCGGATCAGGACTGGTGTCCAACTCCTCCTCAACCGGCTCGCTAAACAGCGCCGGGTTGCCCAAGATTAAGGTAATCAGGAATTATGATCTATACAATCACATGCACAGTTATAATTGCTACTTGCTACCTGCTACTTAGAGTTTTTTTTTGTTTCATGTTCCTTGTTTTTTGTTTGTCGAGCTTGAGAAAAATTGGATGGTATGATTTCAGTCAGACTAAAGGCTGGAATGCATTATGCGACTTATAAAAAGTACTAGCCATAATACACTTGCTGACTTTGTAAACGGTTACAAAGAAAAACTGGGCATCATACAACAAACAACTGAGGATCACACACTGCAAGTCGTTCCAAACATAACAAAACAGTGTTTTAAAACTGGCTCAAAATATCAAACATGATGACATGTTTGATATTTGATATGAAAAAATCTGAGTATGTGCCCATGATACACTACGCAATTTTCTGTGAAATCTGTAAACTCTGACTGTCCAAAGTCTGGCCCTGACTTTCGGCAGCTAGCATTGATTCTCCATACTGCAAATCAGGGCAAAAATCTGGGCAGAATTCATGAAGTGTATTCCAGCATTAAAATGTTTACGCAAAACTTTTATAGTGTATGTAAATGTACTGAATGGTTGTTTACATCGACTCCAAATGTTCAACACTAAAAATGAAGCAATACATCTCTAATATTTCCTTGACAAGTCAGAAATTATTTAACTATCAAAATATTTTGAGGGCTTCATTGAACAGTGCCGAACATTCCATTAATCTATCCAAACTTTTTAGGGAATGACCTAAAAAAAAATCTGATTCAGACTAAAATGGTTTTATAAATAGTCACTGTTTTACTTTTGTGATGCTTAATTTTAACAGACCTAAAGTCAGAGTTCCCACAGTCCTAGAAAAACTAAAGATAGGTTATTTCAAAAGTGTCATTTCCAGGCCTGGAAAACTAATAGAAATACAATTTTACGCAGTCTAGTTGTAGTTATGCATAGTTTTAATTATTTATTTGCCTTGAAATTATGATCTGTAGTGCAAAAACAATTTTTTCAGTCATCACAAGCAACTGGAAAATTCATGGGAATTAGTCAGGAACTCTGCTTTGACACTACATGCACTCTTTCTCTCTATAGGTTGAGCCCATATCTGACATTGAATCAGAAGAGGAAGTCGAAGTGACTGACGTCAGTGATGAAGAAGCTGATGAAAGAGATGAAGAGTTTGATGTTTTCCCCTCTCACTACCATAAACACCGTCATCATCATCACCATAATCATTATCCACACAGCCAAAAGCACCAACAGCCCAATGGCACTGATGCCGCTCTCCACCCAGATGAGGACTTGGAGGAAGAGGTGTTCAAAGCCCCCGCCCCTCCACCCTTCTTCATCCCTCCCACCTCTTCCTCAGGTGATGGTCGCCGTGGTAACTCCGTTGTGAAGAGCGAACCCGTGGAGCCTGCGGACATGCAGCTGCCACAAACCAACTCCCAGTGCATCCCACTGAAGCTCCGGTTCAAACGGCGCTGGGATCAGGACCAGCACATGGAAGAGGCGGAGGACAAGAAAGTGAGAGGAGAAGAGAGGGGGAGAGAGAGGAACGGGATGGTGGAGGAGAGTGGGAGTGGGAGTGGGAGTGGGAGCGGAGAGGCAGAGAGCCCACCTCCTCTCGCTCATCACAGAGTTAGCACCGAGCTCCACCGAGCCACGGCACAGCTGTCACTGGAGAACAAGGAGTGCTGATACGCATCGACACACTTAGACAACTGCTGATACACAACTCTACAACTGCTGATGGACCCACACTCACACGTGACTTTTTAAATCAATGACTGCTGCTACTGACAACAGTAATACTGACACACTTAGACTAACCGACCCTTGCTTAATCGAATCCCGTTCCCCAGGCTACCCTCGTTCCCCTGCCGCCCTCAGCTTCAGATGAGGGGCTCTCCAGCACATGTTCCAGTACATCTCATTGTGACCGTTATGAAGAATGAGTTCACCCACGTGCCCCAGTGACCCTCAGGAGTCATGAACTTTGACCTTTGGCACTACAGAATATTTTATATTTTTAGAAGATAATTTTATTTTGCAAAGTGCCTGTGAGCTGTCCCTCAAAATCCCACAAAGAGAACTAGAGATGGGTGTCAGAAAGACTGGTTTGAAAGGTCTGGTTTGAGGGACTTGATCTTCTTCTCCAGCAGCCCAGCATTATTTTCCTCAGCAACAGACTGTGATCAGTCTGCGTGTGATGTGGTGGGATACAAATGCACAGAAAGTCACAAACAGACTCTGTTCTAAAACCAGCCTGGTCAGAAGTCCGAACCCTCAGGGACAAAATCCCTCAACACACACACACACACACACTCAGACATGACCCCTTTCTTATTCCTTGTATGAAGTGTCTGATTCGAGTTTGATTGTGTGTGTTTCGGAAATCTAGCTGTGTGTAAGTTCTCAGGAAATCTCCCTCCTTTCCTTTTCTATCCAAACCAGCTCACCTTAAAACTCTCGCGCTCTCTTCCGTTCTCTTTTTTTCCTCTGGGACCATACCTGAATCACTTTCATTCCATTGGGGACGTAATGACTCGGGCGTAACATGCTGTTCAGAGACCATACTCCTAAATCTCTTAAATGGCTAGTTCCTTAGTTGGTTAGTCTTTGAAATGACAGTCTGAAAGTAATACACATTAGGGAGTTTATAACAAGCTTCCCAAGTAAAGCAGACTTGACTTGACTTGACTTGTATAGTCAGTCCTTTAAGTGTGAACCAAACCAGCATCACACACACACGCACACAAACACACAAGCTTGTACAGTGATACTAGACCGCCTGGGGCTCAAAGTTTAACTATTTTGGTGCTTGATGTACCCTTTAGAACCAAGTGCTGATTCTTTGTCCTGATTAACTGTCCACAGTCCTTGGACCTCTATGAGATCTTACTATGGACTGGGGGAGGTGAAATAGCAGTTTCAATCCATAATCCCTAAAATTTAAATACTCATTTAAGAATAGAAAGACAGTAGAAGGCATGTGGCCAGAAGTTGCTCTCTTGCGCACACACACAGACACACATACACACACTCTGCCTCTTATGCCTTGTTTTAATAGCATGTCTGACAAGGAAAAACAAAAATCTTAAAAAAAGAACAGTATACACTCAATATACCTTTATATATTATGTGTTGCACATACTATAAACGGAAAGCATAGCATTAACAGATATATCAATTTCAGGGGGTTTGTATCAGATTTCGTTTTGAGGGGAAGGTTGACTCTTCACCTCAGGGATAATGTTGCTATTTGGGTAAGGGAGGAAAATGTTGCTTTTCTTGTCACGTTAATAAAAGGTAGGGTCAAGGAGCGAAAGAATAAATTGTACATAAGACTCTAACAAACCACGAGAGCTTTGCACCACAGATGATGTGGCACATAAGGTTCTTTAACCAGCACGCACCTCTTCAACATCCTGTTCTTACTGCCACAAAGTATGTGTGTGTGTGTGTGTGTGTGTGTGTGTGTGTGTGTGTGTGTGTGTGTGTGTGTGTGTGTGTTTTTGAGAGAGGCTGCAGGTCTCTGTGCATGTATGTAACACCACACCCAAGGCTGTAATTCTTTTGAAATCTTGCATCATGAACCTCAAACCTGTGTGCACTAAAGCCCTGTGGAAGTTGAGCACAGGACTTGAGACATCAACAGGGTGGCCAGTCGGACACTAGCCATGATATAATGGTTTTACAGTGTCGGGAAGGAGTTATATCATGGCTTAAGTGTCCCTAATACCTAAGATAATACATCAAACAAAACTGAACTGGCAACGGGTTACCTCCTCAAAGTTTTGGACTCTTTCTAGCTGCCTTATTCCCACTTTAATCAGATTTGATTATGTTTAAGATCTCCTCTTTCTTTCTTAATCAATTAGTCAAGTCTTTAACTAGGGTGCATGCCCGGCATACCTCAAAATTAAAAAAAAAAATAAAAGAAATTGAGATGGGGTGAGCAGTATTGACAAGTGCGGTCTTGTAAACTTTTGTTTATTTGTTTTCTCTTAGGCTGCTCTCATCAGTTATCCCAGGATGTCACTTTTTCAAGTCAAATGATGTTTTGTTTTTCACCCGAACTGCTCCTGTTTATGTGCTCTCTGATGTCAATGTTGCTGTTCATCCTAATTATTATTAGTTATCATTATTTTGTTGACATATTCTCCTCATATTGTAGTCATGAGAACATTGTATACAATACTGTAAGAGATCCTTTTAAGAATGTTTCCCCCAACCCCTGCCTTCCCACGAGCAACCCGACAGTGTGTTTAGTGTAACATTTAAACTTTTGTAAATTAACGTAAAACTGTAACTTTAATATAGGTGGTTATTGTGGAGAGATATAGGATGGAGGAAGGGCATTCAGGGGAGGATCGGGCTTATGATTTGAACTCAAGTCATGTCATGTAATTGTTATTTTGTAGTGTTACTGATTTCTTGCTCTTGTACATTTTTTTCATCGGGGGATTGTATGATTTTAAAAGATATATTGTGTATTGTTTTATTGTGTAAAAGTCTCTATCTCTCTCACTTTCTTTCTTAAAATTGATTTCTGTGGTTCCATAATTCATAATAACCGGTTTTATTACCATGATGTAACATTTTAATTCCTCCTTTATTCATTTTTTTTTTTGTGTTCTTTTTCAGAATTGTAATTAAAATGTAATCAGGGTCAATTAAACTGGTTAAAAACCATCTGGTTTCTGCAACCTTTTTTTTTTTTTGCAATAACTAGCATGTCAGGAGGCCAACATGTCTGTAGATCTACACTTTGATGCAGTGCAAGCATGACAAAATTATTAACAAGTCAATAAATAAATAAATATGATTCCAAGCAAAGCAATATGCTTAAGATGACAATTAGCAGTTGAGAAGTTCTTTATTTATTAAATTCATGTGTATCCAGCCTGTTGATATAATATATAACATAGACTCTTTAAGACTGACCTCTGCTGTCTGAAGAGCAGAAGTACAAGCGTTATCAACCATCTAAAATCATCACTATTGATTTTTAGAGACATCCCTAGAGACATCTTTTCCCGCTTACAAATGATATATGTATTCTAAAGTAAATAATATTGCTAAATGAAATATTTTAATATTTAGTTTAATATTTAGAGGTATATGAATGTCGTGGGGAAGTCGTGGCCTAATGGTTAGAGAGTCGGACTCGTAACTCAAAGGTTGTGGGTTCGAGTCTCGTACTGGCAGGGATTGTGGGTGGGGGGAGTGAATGTACAGC